AGGGAACAGAGATATGAATCAGGATGTGAGGGGAGGGTAAGAGAGCCATAATGTGCCAATAAATTTAAAGTTAAGAGCTTGAATGTATCAAAATCTGCAAATCGACAATGTATTAGTTATTTCCTTTCCCTGTAATGCGTCAAAATCCCAGCGTGCAGTCGTTCGTCAAAATCGCCTAGAGCGGAAATTGCAGAGTAACGTGAATGGAGCCCCCTCTCCCTCCCCTTCCCCCCTCGATCCTCCCCCAACCTCGCCATCATTGCCTCGGCCAGTCACCGCCACTTCCCACCGCGCAACTTTGAACTTGTGCCTGAGCAATCGATAAGATGGGCGAGGGGAGGGGGCAAAGCTTAAGCCAATATCGTTGTGCAAAGCCCTTCGTTGATTCTTACAAGATGGATGGTTCAATCACTTCAATCCCACCTGACAAACTCAGACTTCACCGAGAAAGCACGATATCCTTTTTTTTTTTTTTTTTTTTTTTTTTTTTTAAAGAAAAAACCAAGAAAACTGAAGGGAGAAAACACCTCACTTGCTTGAACCGAAAGTTAAGTGTCCAAGTCCGCCCGAATTATTAAGTTCATTTAACCTATATTCGGCATACAGATTTTTCGGTTTACGGTACCGACCTTTCAGTTCTCGTTACGGAACTTTCAGCTCTCATTACTGAACATTCGCATTCAACCAAACTAAATGAATTCGATTCGTTACAAAGATAGAAAATTCGGTTATAAGAACTGTAAGTCAGGTCACACGGATATGTACGGTCATACAGGTGTCAAACGTTCGGCTCGAAATTTCTAGTTTAAAGCAACATTACAAATAAGACAAACGCAAACAAACACAATCTGGAAATAAAGCGAGGGAAAGGATGCGCGTCAACGACGGCGCAGAGATACAACTATTCGTACTTGATGGACGTCCGTGCGGCATCTGAAAAATTGAAGGCGCGATGACGCGAAGCGTGAGTTCTCCATGCTCTGCTATATGCTGCCGATGAGGTGTCGCTCAGATTCGGGAGAAAAGTTAAAAGAGAGGCCCGAACACATCTCTCCTACCTTCGGCTGTGTTATTCACGTAGTGCTTGAAGCATCATTACGAAAAAGACGAACGCAAACAAACACAATATGGAAATAAAGCGAGGGAAAGGATGCGCGTCAACGACGGCGCAGAGATACAACTATTCGTACTTGATGGACGTCCGTGCGGCATCTGAAAAATTGAAGGCGCGATGACGCGAAGCGTGAGTTCTCCATGCTCTGCTATATGCTACCGATGAGGTGCCGCTCAGATTCGGGAGAAAATTTAAAAAAGAGGCCCGAATACGTCTTTCTTGTCGTCGACTGTGTTGATACTCGTTCTTTACTCTTTTCTCAGGTTCTTGCCTGATTCTTTTTCAGGATGGAGTTTTAGACCCACGTCTTAAGCTCGTGTAAACCGCAGCACTAATACGGTTCTTGTGGAAATAATGGCGCTCGGATGCGTGAAGTGGCTTTAATTTTTTTTGTTTTCTTTGATTTCAGAAGTCTGTCGGTCACTTCAATACGTTCAATTTTACAATTTTTACTCTGTACGATTAATAAACTTTGAACCGGAAAATAGCGTAAACTTGCGCTGCTATGGGAAAAGTGACTTGCTGGCCGAGTTATGGATCTTGGAGCCATAAAACATAGATCGTGGAGCCATGCTTATAGGTTCGCGACCAATAAAGTATGGCTCAGAAAGTCATAGTGTAGACGGTAAGTCACTTTGGTTAGAAATTATGGATCTTCGAGCCATTTTTTATGGGTCTCAGAGTCATACCTTTTTTTTGAGGGTGTGATACCCCCATGGGAAAGAAGACACCCCATATTATTGTATACCATTTTATTTCACGAAAAATACGGAATGAAACGCGACAATATACCTGCTGCAACACCTGACGGTTCCTACGGCTGAAATTGCATGCGATTGGGTGAGAGATTCTTCTCCAGAGCAGTCGTGATCTTGCAAGTGGATAACACCGTTACTTTTCCATCTAAGTGCATGTAAAACAATCGATTTTAGGCGAAGCAGTCCGCTTCACTTAGAATCGGCACACTGTGTATTTTAATAGAGCATTAACAGTATTGCCAAGTTGCTTGAATCGCCACAGCCTCTAACTCTACAGCGAACTGAATTTACTGATTTCTACACATCAACAGCTCGACTTGGCAAGTACGCCTGACTCTTCAAGGAACACCTCAAAATCACATGTTGAAGGAGGATGTGGAGATGCTCTTTTGGTGTCGCCATGTGGTTGGTTTTAATCTTTCAAGTAGGATATATTTTTAATTTACTTTACAGTGTGTTTGACTGAACATGTGACATATTTTCAAGTTAGGATCCTTAATTTGCTCAAAGATTAACGCAGCTGTGCAGAGGTGTGGTTACTGGCCGGAGGTCTCGAGATGTATACATCTAGAGCCCCCCCCCCCCTTCCTCTCAGACTTACCCAAGGATTAGAAATTTTTCAGACCTAAATCAAGCCCTGCGGCTTTGTGAACTTTTGTACTTTCAGATCCATGTTCCCCTCCCCTCTTCCTCTCGATGACAATTTGAAAGGTTCCGAGCAGTGTCGTGGCGTGCTTTGCGATATATCGATTGTTATGCCGTTTAAACCTATGGAAAAGGATCGATAAACAGGGTGTTCGCAGCGAACACCTTAATAGTCGATTCTTTACCATAGATTTAAATGGCATAACAATCGATACATCGCAATTCACGCCACGCTACTGGTTCCGAGGAGGGAAGAGGAATATAGTATCGTCAAATCTGTCAAAATAAGGGTGCAAACGTTGTTCAGAGGAGGCTTCTCCGAGGGTGACTAGGGGAAAACTTCCAAAAATATCGAAAAATACCCTAAAATAGAGTATAAAACGCAGGTATCCTAAAAATCCCTTGTAAAGACTTCATAAAGTTTTTCTTCCATAGGGGATGGAACAATCTCCTCCCCCACAAAATTTTGCCCCTGTGAGTACATAGTTCAGTGATTTTGAGAGAAACAAAGAAACACGAGAAAAAGTGGATTGCTGATTTAACAATTAAATTGTCAACAGATATGTCCGACATGTTTCAAATGTACATTCTACAATAGGTAGTGGAAAGCTCATTCAACCACGAGCGTGGTTGAATTAGCATTTTATTATTGTAAAATCTACATTGAAACACGGCGGGACGCTTTTTTAAACTACAAAATTGTTAAATCAGCAATATTATTTTTTCCCGTGAGCATCACGGCAGCCTAGAAACTCTAGTTTCCGCTGACGAATAAATCCTACACTCTGGAAATAATCAAGTCACTTGACGCAAAGAGACAATAAATGAGATACTAAATAGGCCGCCTGATAACCCTCTCAAACCGTGTATTCTTATCGATTGAATTATTTATAAGGTCCTAGTTAAGAGGAGGCATTCATTTTTAATGCTGCGTTGTGATACTTTGTATTTGCTTACTCAATTGGTATGTCGTGAGTGACATAATTTTTTTATTTCTTTCCGCCTACCCCGACCTGCTCTCTCGATATCTGCTTACTAATGAATGGATATCTTTCATGCGAAACATTCGTGATCTTTCAGCGATATAATCATTTGATCGCCAAGGAAAAATGAGTAATTTTGTCAATTAATGTTGATTGTTATTTCGTTTCGTTCGAAGGTGGAAGAGGGCTTTATTTACCATGGAAGTATGATTTTCGAATCAGCTTCTGCGTTCAATTAAAAAAAAATAATAAATAAAAACTGTTCACCGCTCTGATTTGCTCTTTGTGGCACAAAAGTACCAGTTCGTAATGCAACGCTGCACGTTCCACCTAAACCTAAACTAATACTGCTCAAAAGTTATTCTCTAGGTAAATTTTAATTAGATTAGATTAGATTTTTGTCTTCCAATATGGTGGGTCATTGACCGGTCATGGATGTTGGTTTCCGAATAGAAGCTATTTCATCCAACCAGAAATAGATGAACGGAACTTCTCGACCTCCGAGCAGCGGACTGATTGTTGAAATTGATAGACAAAACTATAGACAAGGAAGACAAAAAAGATGTGGAGGGATCTTATTAGTGGGGGCGGGTGGTTGCAAGACTAACTAACGGCAACTCACGAGGAACCCTTTAGTTAGTCCATCATTTACCCCCTTATTCTGTAAGAGCCACCCAAATTAACCAAGAGGATCGCTCCATACTCATTATGTCCTCTTTGTCTATCACTATGTCCACCAATTTCAACAAGCAGCCCGCTAAAGACATCACTTTATATCCCATTTCTGATCCGAGATCCTATAAAAGGTTCGGTTCTGATTCCAAAACTCCGATACAGAGGGAAAGCTAATTTCGGTACCTTGGACACAAAATCTGCATCTATCTGGTAAATATTGAGTTTGCTCCTTAGACATTATCTCTCAAACAACTCGAGAGAAATTGCTCGACTTAAAACTTAGGTTCTTTTACCCGTAGATGGGGACGTGGGACATGTTTTTTATTTACCTATTTTTCTTTTCTTTTTTCCCCTGATGATCCTCAAAAATCGTGTCCCGGTGAAACTTGACAGCAACGCCACTCTTTACGAGGAAACAAATGAATAGTGCCCCCCCCCCCTTCACGGTTTGTCATTGAGAGGCCGGAATCATCGGCGAGTGACCTTCACAGCATGTGTACTAAAGGGAAGAAAGGTAGGAAAAGGGTGAGCGGTGGCGGTGGCGGCGGCGGCGTCGGAGGGAGGGGCGTGCGAGTGGGGGCGGGTGAAGCGGAGGCGAAGGCGAAGGGAGGGTTGCAAAAGGCGCGCGAGGAGGGGAAGGTGAACGGATCTGCGGCTCGAAGGGATGTTGGCAAGATGCGGAATCGAGGAAGCGGCAGGCGGGATGGCAGAAAAGGGTAACTGGGTCGGCCGTCGGAGGGGGAGATGAGGTGGGGTGGCGTCGAGGGGTGCGACGCGATGTTGGCCGGAGCCGAGATGAGTCTGTTGCTCGCAGGAGGATAGCGGGAAGCGGGTCGGGCGACCGGGGTTGAGCGACGGGATAGCAGGAGGCCCAGGCCGACCAACCGTCAGATCGGATCAATTCGGACCCCGGTTGGGTTGTCGCTGCCGGCTGGGGGCTGGGGCTGGCCCGCTCGCCGCCGAGTCGGTAGTCGCCCTTCGAGTAGGGAGGAAGTTTGTCGTCAGGTCGGTCCCGCCGCTCCGCTTCCCCATTCCCAGTTTGTTGTCCGTTGCACGCTGCCCGCCTGCCTCCGGCCCGGCCGTTGCCTTGCCTTGAGTCTCCCCTCGTGTACAACCCTCGCGCCAGCCCGCACCGCTTCCCGCTTGCCATGGACAAAGAGAAACTCATCCGCGTGGTCCGCTCCAAGAAGCCGCTCTGGGACCGCAGCAATAAATTCTTCCGAAACCGCGACCACACCAAGGAGCTATGGAAGGAAGTCGCCGAGGAAATGGACGAGCCTTGTGAGTATAAACTCCCCAACTTTCCCATCCAAATCCTTCCCAATCCTGGGCACCAACGAACCTCTCTCACGCTGAAAAGTAATCTCAAGCGACGAAATAACGTGCACAAAGCTCCTGAGATTCTTCTCTCATGGTTGCAAAAAGTTCCTGTTGAAAGAACTGAGCGTCTATCATCAACCAATTCTATCAGAGATATTTTGTAACCGTAAAAGTCTCACAAGCCTCCCAAACTGAGTTTTTTGCTACCGGTACTGTTCTTTTTTCGTACTTGAGAGGTTTTCCTGGGAGCCCTGGATTAGAGTCTCCACATCGAAAAGAATACGGTGCCAGTGACAGAAAATTATTCCTAAAGGATCCAAGAGATTCTTCTGTTTGTGACAAAATTTTGCCTTTTGTGAACTCACAACAGAAAATTTTGTCACTAACAGAATAATTTCTTGGATTCTATAGGAATAATTTACTTTCACTGGCACCGTATTCTTTTCGATGTAGAGACTCTAATCCAGGGCTTCCATGAAAACCTCTCAAGTACGAAAAAAGAACAGTACTGGTAGCAAAAAACTCTGTTTGGAAGGCTCGTGAGACTTTTACGGTCACAAAATATCTCTATTGGAAGCACTAACTCTAAGCAATCTATCGAAGATCGACGCTCAGTTCTCACAACAGGACCTTTTTGTAACTGTGACAGAAGAACTCTGAGCTCACAACAGAAACTTTCATCAGCGGATCGAGCAAATTGGCAACATTGTTTTCTCCCCATTTAAACCTATGGAAATGTATCGATTCTTAAAGGGGCCATGTGCTCCGATAAGAGTCGATTATTTAACATAGGTTTAAATGGAGGCAATCCGGCGTTGCCAAACTGTTGGATCTGCCTCTGAAAACTTTCTGTGACTGTAACAGATGACTCATGGTAGCTGAACGAGGGTGTATTCTGTTACCAGCACAGGTTTTTTTGGTGCTTGGACATCCTGTATCCTACAGTCTCAATGAAACTCTCTCTACCAAAAATAATCGTTGCTGGCAACAGTAAACTCTGTTAGGAGAGCTCCCAAGACTCCTCTGTAGTAGTCAACAGAATGTTCCTGTTCTGAGTTTGGAGCCTACCGAGCTCTCAACAGGACTCAAAAAATATTCTGCAACTGAAACAGAAGAATGTTTGGAGCCCCACAAACAGATTTTCCTGTTGCCAGCACCGATTACGGATTGGCGTGATAGGGTTTCATGCATTTTTATTGAGAAAAATCCTTCGTTGGATTATCCGACCGGGAGAACCACCCATTAAAATATCCTTCGCACCATTCGATAGATGTATCGATGAGTCTCTGATCGTAAGTAGAAGCAATAGCACGATGGAAGAGGCTCGCCGATAAGTAAGAACCAATAATATAAGTAGCTAGTAATAAGAACCAAAAATGCGTCAGTTGCACTGGTCAAAAAATCGTGTCCCATGCAATAACAGAATCGAATAGGTTAGCAAAAAAATGATATCAAATCATACTTTAGCGTATTTTAACGTTCAAAGTTAAGGCGATGATGCCGGATTAAGATAAAATTTACCGCGCTCGTGCCGCGGTAGCCTCCGGTCATTTTTGGTATACAATTTGGCAACATTTGAAAGCTTAGGCGCCCAGTACTGCGGTGTTAAAGGCTTCAACACCGCGTTTCGATGAGACAGAATATTTTACCCTATAGAACACGAGGAAAAAGTCGAATTGCAAGTTGCAGTTCGGTCGCGAGCGAAGAAGTGATGCTGACATCCAAATCCGCGTTTGTTCTTGAAACCCTCTCGACCTCCGCCTGAAACTAGAAGACAGGATCATGAATGGCATCCTCTTGCTTTGGATCCATCAGTGACAATATCGATGACTAAGGTACGAAATCACGTATCTCCGTTTGCGACGTTGCAGATTTTCAGTCATACTTTATTTTTCTCTGCAAAACTGGTCAGAGTTTTTTCTTTAAAACTCCCTTGAAATTTCTTTTCCATCGGAAGAATGTGCTGTAAAAATATCAAGCTATGAAGTTAGCTTGTCACTCTTCGAGAAAATGTAATCGGGGCCGTTATTTTGAAACACTGCATGAAATGGAGGTACGTGGTTTCGTACTTTGATCATCGACACGTTTCTCTGCTCCAACAATCTTAGCAAAGTTTGATGAGGTAAACGTTAAGCTCGGATCCAAACGCTATTTTTCACTTCATGATACGAATGTCGAGGTGAGCTCTTTGATCGGTGATTTTTTACAAATTAGGTCAGGTTTTCCAAACAAATTGCTCAGACTTTTATTTGGATTATATTTTGTAAAAAGAATCCGCTATCTATAGCTCCTCCATGAAATCAATTTTCTGCGTCGGGAAACCAATGGACCATATGTTGTTTCTAAAATGAGCCAGAAATAGTGGTTCCTTATTGCAAAATGTGGTCCATTTGGTCATCAGTCATTATCAGTAACTCTGAGTTTCGAGTTCCAAGCTAGCTATGCAGGATCTCTAATATGGATTACATTTTGCAATAAGGAACCACTATCTCTGGCTTTTCCATAAAAGCACATATCTGCATAGGGAATCCAATGACATGTATGTTGTTCCTAAAATGGGCCTGAATTAGTGGTTCCTTATTGCAAAATGTAATCCATATATACTGTCGTTTTTTGAATGCAANAGGGTGACAAAGCCGGACTCCGCGCAGGGTGATTAGATAGAAAGAGCAGAGTCCGGTGATATGACGTAAGAAGAGAAAGCATGCGAATAGGTGGAATGTCCTGAGACCGGATATGAGGTATAAATGTAAGAGTGTAAGTGATGATGGAAGATAGGTATAGATAGATATAGGTATAGATAGATATAGGTATAGATAGATATAGGTATAGATAGATATAGGTATAGATAGGTATAGGTATAGATAGATATAGGCATGTTGGGGCACACAACACGACCATCGGAATTCGGTAGACGCGAATCGAGTTTTTCCATCAATTTTCCCACTCGCACCAAGCCTCCCGCTTTCGTGATTGGGGATGTTCGTGTCCTTGCGTCATGTGCCTGCTCGCCATCGGCAGCGAACGAGGGCGCATGCGTGCGTGAGACGGCGCATCTGCGCGTAATTCGAAAACACGGCGTTTCGACCCACTTTCCAGAGGCAGGGAGCAGGAACAGATGAGTCACGCTGCTCCTTCCAGAATCCAAGATTCGTCTTGTCTCTCTCGACTTGGAACCGACCTACCTCTGAGCGGAAATCTATGACCTTCATGCCTTGAACCAACCCCCCCCCCCCCCNAATTCGTGCCGATACGGTTGTTCACGTATTGTTCATAAGTTTCATGACCGCTATTGAACCTTTCTATATCAATCTACAACACTTACGAAAAATTTCGGTCACTAGATGACCCCGCCCCCTAGTTGCTCCGCGACCCGCAACCATAGTAGATTTCTGACATTTCTAGCCTACTGAGAATTTCGAGAGCAGGGTGTCTACAAGTCCGGGAATAATACTGATTTTTTAAGGGTGGTCTGTAAGTACTGAAAAAGTGCGGAAATTCCGCAAAAAGGTCCGGATTTTTTTAAAATTTTTAGTCACTTTTGTCGCAATTTCAAATTTTTGAAATTTTTCGAATTTCGTCAAATGGAGATACTGAAAAAGTACGGAATTTTTCTGTTGGAGGAGGTACTGAATTTCTTAAGAATGTATCGTCGAAGTACTGTAAAAATACCTATTTTTGACCAGTCTGTTATAGTAGACACCCTGGAGAAAGTTCAAGGAAACACAATTTAGCAAAAAAAAAATTATAGTACAATGAGAAGAGAATTGAACAATTTCATTGTATTTTCCAATAAGGAACGAATATTTCAGGCTCTTGTTTTATTCCAACGAAACGGAATAAATACTACTCCAGTCTTTCTCTTCGTCAAAAAAATAATTTAGGTACCCCGAATTTCTGATTAAAATTCTTTTCGTCTTGTTTTATTATCCCTTTCAGAATTGGAATTATCCAAGAATATGCCATATAACTGCCTCTAGGCTCCTCAGTCAACAGAGAAAACACATCACCAACGAAATAACGCGATATGATTCGACCGAGATGCCTTTCCGAAAGATAAATTCGGCATTTGAATAATGCGCGGAGCGTAAATCAACGAAGTTGGGTTCCAGCCCAACATGCAACTATTTTAACTCCGTGGTGGGCCGGGTTGCATACGCTCGATTTTGCGGGCGGAATCTGTGTTCTGCTCACGGCTTTCGCGACAGGGTACAGATGCAATCAGTATTTCCCACGAGCAAGACTTCTATTTCGGTCAACTATTTGCACTCTCCTATCGCACGGATTAACGGTGCGATTCTAAAAAACTGAGATTCTTCTCGGCAGACGAACTCAGCATTTAAATAATGCACTGATCGTAGAATAATGGAAGAATATACGAAGTTGGGTTTGGACCAAACATGTACCTCTTTTAATTCCGCGGTGAGCCGGGTTGCATACGCTCGAGGAAAACACTGGCACCTGCGCCCTATTGCGAGCGAGCGTAGTTCGTGGGCCGATCTCACATTTCGCCCGCGAAATCTAGCGTATGCAACCCGGCCCACCGCGGAGTTCGAATAGTTGCATGTTGGGTTCGAACCCAACTTCGTCTATTCCTCCACTGTTTTTCGCGTTATTTTGAGTTGAAACAGCGTTCCATGACTGCGTCACGTCGCATTTCAGGGAGGAGGGAATAAAATTAGGCGGGAACTATGCGTCACGTGTAACTAGTGCGCTCCTTAACCATTTGGTTCAAGTAACCATGTCCTCACTTCATTCAATCAAATACCTTCTTAACAGTTCGTTTCATCTAACTCTTTTCCGTACTTCAGTTCAGCATCTAACTCTTTTTCCGTACTTCGGTGCAGCGGGCCGATTATTGAAATGGATAGACAAAACTATAGACATAGAAGACAAAATTGCTATGGATAGAACCTATTGGTGGAGGCGGATGGTTGCAATGGACGAAAGACGTAGGTAATAGTCAAACTAACGGCAACCCACGAGAGACCCGACAGTTAGTCCATTATTTACCCCCTTAATCAATAAGAATCACCCATTTCAATCAATTGGATCGCTTTATACTCCCTATGTCTTCTTTGTCTACAAATTTCAATAATCAGTCCGCAGGTGTATAAACCGACAGAAGAAAAGCAAAATTTCTTGATTCAGAAAGCAAAACATAGTTTAATGTGTGAACCAAAGGTGTGGCGTGAATTGCGATTTATCGATTGTTATGCCATTTAAAACTATGGAAAAGGATCGATAAACAGGGTGTACGCAGCGAACACCTTAATAACCGATTCTTTATCATAGGTTTAAATGGCATAACAATCGATACATCGCAATTCACGCCACGCCACTGGTGTGAACCAACAACAAGGCGCACCAACCCAAATCTCCTATGCGTGAGTCTGGGGTACTTGATATACACTCAATTTTAACGTCTCCCTTCCTGTGTCTCCATCTCATCTCCTGTCTCTTGCCATTAGAGCCGTGCGCCGCCCTCCTGGACTCCCTCTCACGTTTGAAGAACTCCCTTTGATATCTTGCATTTGCAGCTGTTGAAGTTTACTAACCTTCCTGTGTCTGGTCGAGTCTGTGATGGGGGAAGCGCCTGCATACGGGCCATGTGTACTCACACTCACACAGAGGACTATTTACATCCTTTCTTTTTCTCTCACCTTCCACTCTTACTCTGCCGTCCGGAGGAAGATCGCCGTATGTGCCATCAGGCGTTGCCAAATTGCCTTCGACATATCACGAATTTTCAGGACAATTTGTCAATGTCTCTCTTTCAATTTTTCGGAGGATTTGGCTCGTACTTAATTTAATCTAAAAAGTCTGAAAATTTGAAGAACAAATGGAGAGCATAGAGGACAAAGCGTATAAGTGCAGTTTTTGCTATTTTGAGAAATACGTGTTTGAAGTTACGAAATTACATGGATCCTTACCTTATGAGGGAACGAAAGTTCAGAATGACTTTTTGTTGCTTTAAAATTGGAATTTGGGAGCGAATCTCTCACAAAATATTCATTAAGACTATAGTTTTACTTGAAATCATAAACATCTCAATTTTTTAAAAAAAACTGCACTTATACGCCTTGTCCTCCAAGCCTCTCAAATTTTCATATCTTTCTTCAAAAACAAGATTTTTCTAAAAGGAAATTTGGCAACATTCGAATACTCATACGGCGTTTTTACGTAGCACGGCAGTCCTCTAGATTGTTTTAGTGCCAACGACTCTCGGATGCATCAAGTACATAAAAAGTGATCGTTTGATAAGACAGTCTCATTATCAAAAAGGGAAACGCTTTAAAACTAACCTCGAATTCCGAGTTCGAAGGGTGTTGGAAAAAGGGCCCGTTCATACATAACATCCTGCATCACAGGAGAAGGGAAGTGAGACACAAGCCCTGTTACGAAGAGGAAGGGGTCTGTAGCAATACGTGACGTCTAACGTCACGAAGAAAATGTGTTGTAGTCCTGATGAAAATGTTACCGGATCCATGAAAAGGGACCATAACTCCCGGAATCAAAGTTTCCTTCGCTTTTTTACAAAATTTTAGGAAGGTTTCTCTGCAGCCCACATAATACTTTTCGTCTCGAGGCTTCAGGGCTCGTATTTCCTTCAGGTCTAGAGCTTTCAGGGTTGAATTCATGCGAAAATTTGCAGATTTTCCTCCTTCGGGCATTTTTAAAAAGTGATCCAGCCCTAAATATCAACATGAAATACCGATTCTTTTAAATGAAGGAGGCTATCCATTCCACCATAGCCCCGTGATGAGCTCAAATGTGAGCACTCTTTGGAGTAATGAGTCTGTGGTTCATCAGCTTTTCGGCAACTTGGCTGATTTGAGTCGCATGCATGCACATTGCACACTGCACAGCGTCAAAATTGGACTTCATTTTGCAATTAGGAATTACAACTTCTGGCTCAATTTAGAAACAACGTATGTATAATTAGTTTCCCTATGAACATAAGTGTTTTTACCGATGAGTCAGAAATTGTAGTTTCTAATTGCAAAATGTTGTTCAATTACGCCTCGCTCCTCTTAAGGAAACAGTTCACTATTGTCGACCTTTAACAACTTCTCCTAACTTCACGATGATTATCCTTCAAAACTTATTTATTGCCTTCCACGTCTTTTACCCAGGGCTTTTTCCTCCATCATTTAAAGTAGATGAAATATGCATGTCGAGACCACCAAGAACCACGTTCGTGATTTTTTGCGCTGATTTTTACAGTTTTGCACAGTTTCTGCTACAGCACAATAATTTGTCAAGTGCACCTGTGAACTCTCCATGATTATCAAATGTTTATAAATTTTTCGCTGTTAGAATGTTTGCCAAAAATGGACGAAATCTTTAAACATTCGGTACAATTTCAAATTATTGGGGGAGGGGGAGGACTTTGATACAATTTGACAAATTGACACAGCCAGCCAGCGTTCAACAAAAATCCGATCATATCCTTATCGCGATATTGCCAACTCGTGCAATAATAGAGACGGTGCAAAACAGTGCTTTCAATCGGTGAGCTGCAGGGATTTAGGCGCGTTCGACTCGGCAACGGTCGCCCGGTCGTTGGCTGAGATTGCGAGGAAAATCATGGACCGTAAATCATACTGCCGTGCTAGGGAAGTACGTCGTAGGAACCTTCAGGCGTTGCCAAAGTACCTTCGATAAATCACGAATTTTCGGGAAAATTTGTCAATATTTGTCTTCCGATTTTTCAGATAATTTTGTTCGCAATTTTACCCGAAGTTCTTGAAAATTTATCGGAAAAATATTCGTAACTACCCTCGAAAAAAAAAAACATTTTATTGAAGGAAATTTGGCAGCTCTCGCATGTTCGTACGGCGTTTTCCCTCAGCACGGCGGCATAGCTTCGGTGGCCTGCCCGAGTCTGGAAGATCTGCGACGATTCACGAGAAGTTGGCGAGGTATAAAATCTTTATTGATTCATTCAACGCGGCCATGGCGCGGCGCGGCGGCGCATGTCGTCTGGCTCCGGATTCCGGCCCCGGGGACTCGGGAAGGTATCGTCCGTTGCACCCTGTTGCCGAGCTGGGCGATCGGAACGTACCATCCCCTCGACGCGTCGCGATTCCAGCAAGTTGGCAACCCTGGACTTCCCCAACAATCGAATCCATCGAGGCATGCCTTACTTGGAATCGATTGTATATGATGGAGTTAAATGGAGAGGAAACGGCGTTGCTAAGTTGTGAGGATATGGCCGCTTTCCTGATCTCCTCAACCAGGGATCGTATGACGAGACGGAAAGTTGATACCGGACAGACATAGCGCGGTTTTTCTGGTTCCCCATCGCTGAGCTTTGGGAATCCACCAGCCCCCATGAGCTGCGCCGAGCTCTGCACCAGGAGTCCGGAGCCATGGCAGGACTGTGCCGTAGTCTATGGAGGACCAGCGGGCTGATCATTGAAATTGATAAACAAAGAAGACAAAGGGAGTATGGAGCGATCCTATTAGTTGAAATGGGTGGTCCTCATAGACTAAGGGAAAAAATGATGGACTAACTATCGAGTCTCTCGTGGGTTGCCGTTAATTAGTCTATTATCTACCTCTTTTGTCCATTGCAACCACCCGCTTCCACCAATAAGATCTCTCCATATCTCTTTTGTCTTCTTTGTCTATAGCTTTGTCTATCAATTTCAATAATCGGTCCGCTGGCCAGGAGGGCGCAATTTTCAGATTTTTTTAGTGTTTTTCAGATTAATATTTCCTCTTTTGACGACTTGAAAAAAAGTTTTTCAGCCAGTAACTTATCATATGATTTGGGTGTTTCAGGTGACGTGGTGAAGAAGAAATGGACGGGCCTCCGCGACGTGTTCCGGCGAGAGTGGAAGCACATCTACGCGGCCCGCGTGAGCAGCGGCGACGGAACGGTGAGCCTGCACAAGAAGAGCACGTGGCCATACCTGGAGAACATGCTCTTCCTGGCGCCGCAGATGGTCTTCCACGAGCCGGTCGAGAACCAGGAGATCAAGGAGGAACTCGACGATTCCATGGGCTCTTACCCAGACGAGCTACCGTTCGAGGCCCAGTTCGAGGAGGGTTCCTACGAGTCCCTCAAGATCGACGAGCCTGTCAAGCCGCAGGGCGGTCCTGTCCCGATCATGGCCGCTGGCACTGCCACCACCGCTTCCGGAGCCTCCGCCTCAACCCAGGCCCCGCCGGAGGTCCAGAAAAGCCCCGCCGACCTCCACAGGATCCTCGAGGAAGCTCGCGATGCCGGCCTCCCCGTCGCCATCTCCAGATCTCCTTTCAAGCGACCGCCGTTCGCTGATGCCTACTGCGTCGAGGTTGAGGAGAAAAGAGCCAGGTGAGAGGATTCAGCTCCTTTTTTCATGGTCATACTTGAAAGCACGAGCTAGGTGTGCAATTCTCAAATTGCATTACACACACAAGTTTTTTCTTCCTCTACCTCTTCACCCTCTTGTTTATCCCCTTTTCCTCCCTCTCCTTCCTCCCCTTTTTCTCCCCCTTTTTCCCCCTTCGCCTTCTCCCTTTCTTCCCCTTTATCCTCCTCCTCCTCTTCTCCTCTTCCTCTTCTTCCTTTTTTTTATCCTCTTCCTCTGCCCCTTGATCCTTCTCTTTTTCATTTTCTTCAGCTCTTTCTTTGCCTCCTTCTTCCTCTTATTCTTATTTTCTTCCCCCTCCTTTTTCTCTTCTTTTTTTCTTAACCCGGGAGGGGGGGGGGCTTGCCCGCAACCTCTTNGGGGGGGGGGGGGGGGAGAGGTCCGTGGATCACGGAGTGCCTCTGTGTGGATGGGTTCTGGAGGAACTTCACCGAGCTTAGAGCAGAGACTTTAGCTCATTGGCAGTTTGCCTTCAGTTTCCAGTGTATAGGCAAAATGGTCTCTCACATGGCCGAATAGTGGCATCACTCTCGGGGATCATGATTGCTCGAGGGGAAAAGCGGGAATAGATTTCAAAGAGCGCGAAGCGAAGACCTTAGGTTCGCCTTCACCCTCTGGTGTAGGCAACATGATCTCTGACGTGACCGAATAGTGGTATTACCCTCAGAAGTAACAATTTACCGAAGAAGAAAACGGGAATAGTGGAAAATGTATGTACCAGACAAGCTCCAGATAACCAATAGCTCATTTACTGATGAGAAAATGATAAGGTACCTCTCTTCGAAACTTACAATTAGTCATGAGAGGGCACGTGATTATGGCTTAAATTTTGCTCTGATTTTCCTTCACTATATTTTTGTTAACATGTAAAACATTTCTACCTTTGATTTCGATTACTCGATTATTTCGATTTTGACGTATTTTGATAGATAACGTCAAACAACAAATTTTAGGAAAATTACGTGGAAAGCACTAATCGACCTACCTCAATTTTTTTTTTCTTTTAATATTTATTCAATGTAAACTACTGAAACAGCATTATATACAATTCCTTTAAGACTATTAAATTAAATACACAAAATACATCAGAGTAGTATCTTATTTACATACCAATAACCTCAATTTTTTTTCTCTTTTTTTTTCAAAAAAAAAAGAGAAAAAAAACTCGTGTAGAAGATATTGTTGTCTAATGTTGTATATTTTCTGTGCAGGTACCTAGAGAGCAGCGACAGCGACCAACAGTTTCTGATGAGCTTACTGCCATTCCTGAAAGCAATTCCCGGGAATCGGAAGATGAGCGTTCGCATGAGACTTCAGCAGGTTTTCCTAGAGGAGGAAGAGCGCGCCAGTCAAAACCACCCCCCGGGTACAACCCTGGAACATCGAAAAAGTGCCACCACCACATCAGTCCCGTCCTCCACTTGGGTCTCATCAAATAGTGTCAGCTCGCCCACTGTCGACTAGAGTGAAATTTCTCGACAAATTTTCACTGCCTATGCTCAATTTTTATTGCTCAGTTAATTTCCACCCTATAATTTGAATCAGGAGTTTTCGTCCTGAACAGAGAGGGGTGGTTTGTCAATCCAGTTTTGTGTTTATCATGAAGAGTAACTGTGAGGATGGATCCAGTGGCGTGGCGTGGATTGCGATGTATCGATTGTTCTGTCATTTAAACCTGTGGTGAAGAATCGATTATTAAGGTGTTCGCTGCGAACACCCTGTTTCTCGATCCTTTTCCATGGGTTGAAATGGCATAACAATCGATAAATCGCAAAGCACGCCACGCCACTGGATGGATCAGAGAGTAGGTACATCTGTGAATCTCTGAATGGCAAGAGGCGTATGTTATTCTTTATTATCTCCCTCGTCTTAGAGCAGTTTTTTTAAGTAAGAAAACTGAGAGACCCTCCTCGAGAAAGGGTCTATTCCTACCTTAAGGCTCTATCATCTCACTTGGGAATATATCAAGTACAGATAGAAGGTGAGCCCCAACTTTGTCTCTCCGAGTTGTGTTGAATTTATAGTTCAATTTCCTATAAAACTCTACTTAGAAAAAATCCCGCGATTTGTGTATCATTCAAATAAATAATAAAAACAAGGGTAAAATTAGGAAAGTCAAAATTTTCTCTCTTTTGAAAAATAAAACCTCTGGTTACCTTATGTAAGCTCTGTCGTATTACCGTGTTGTTAGGAAGTAAACTTAGTTACCTTTGTGTTTTAGTTTTAAACAAGTCATATTTTTGAATACCCACACAAAAACCGTTAATTACCTACCCCATACCTACCTTACCCTTTGAAAACCTGACAATTTTAGCGTGTAGCCATGCAAAAGTGATGTTGATATGATCTTTCATTTACTAAACATCGGGGAAAAAACCTTTACCCATTATTCCACTTATTTTCAATACTTTTCTTGATCTCCTTTAAATACTTTTAGTTTTTAATTTGAATAACCTCTTTATTGTATTCTTATTTGTCGGGTGTATCTTACAAACTTGTATGGTAAAGATACAGCAAGTACCTATCGCGAAAGTCTAAAGTACAATAAATCATTACCTATTTTTAGGCGTTTCAGCCGTTTCCATTTTGAATTTGACAAAATCTTTATTTTTCGATTGTAAAATTCTGACGAGATACTATAATTTTTAATGAAAAGGAAACTTTATTTTCAAGTTCCCTCTCCTTGTTCACATGAGTGAAAACTTCATTGTACCATACCCGCCGATGGGTTTTTACTTTATTTTTATACTTCTTTTCTATGTATCTATCATATTTTTTCATGACCTTTTCAGATGCTCATGGATAAAAAACACATTCTTCTCAGAGCTTCACAAATATAGTATGTCAATAAGTAACCTTACCATTAGTCATGCAGTTCTGACTCTCATATCTCACATTAAATGTCTCTTTTACGATACATACTTTACCATTCGCCTTTCTCCTTTCACTAGAATACAGCGTCATTCTTCTGGCAAGATATTAACCTAGTCAGTCACTAGTATGATCTTTTTCAATTACAATAATGTAGCATTGCAGTTAGAAGCGTAAGATCTTCAGAGTCATCAAATGAGCTCAGTTTAAGTGAGGCTCCTTAAATTTTAACTGTAGGAAAAGAAAATGGGAAAGAAAAATTTAGCTGCCCATTGCCCCTACGATCTCGAACAGCGAAATAACAGACGCTAATCAAACCTTTTACACTGTCAAGAAAGAAAGCAATTCCCTCTGTGCGCATCTGAAAGCTTTTGTTTTTTATGTGTTTGTAAATGTAAGACAATTATGGTGTAAATACTTAATATTTTTTAGACTTTGATCTCGATTTTTGTGGTAAGTTGAAGTACCGATGAATAAACTTGTTATTATCTCAATCGATTCTTCTTACTTCAACGATTCGTATACCTACAGATACAGACGACGCGGGGTTGCCCTCTTTTATTGTGGATTTCTAGAATGGTAGACATTTTCAATTTATTCCACTCTAGTAATTAACCTCTAGTCAGGGTACATCAAGAATCACACAAGATGTTTGCTCTTGAAAGGTGCATACAGACATCTGGAAACTCAATGGAAGCAAAATTCATACCAGTCGGAGGTTCCATCTGCTATTTCGCCTTCAGTATTCGAGGTAGGCTAGAATACATCCTCCAAGCTGCAATAGTTACATATTCGAGTGGCATGGTAGGAGTTATTATATTTGAGGGGTTTGGAGGAGAAGGCGCATATGTGCAGTTTTTGCTATTTCGAGAAAAACGTGTTCTAAGTTTTAAAATTATATGAAGCCTTTATGATGTAAAGAAAGTTCAAACTCACATTTTGGTGCTTAAAAATTGGATTTCACCAATGAATTTTTCACACAATGTATTCCAAGCCTAAAAGTTGAAATCACTAATATCTCATTTTTTTCGAAAACTGCTTTTATGCGCATTGTCCTCCAATCCCTTTTTGTTACATTATAGCCATAGAACAAGGGGGACACTAAAATTGGAGCCCGAATACTGTAACCCTAATGCAATTCGTAGAAGATGTATGTCCACTGGATATCTGAAAGTGGCAATTAACAGAAAAAATGTCCAATCTATTCGAGGATGTGAAACTCACGTCATAAAGTCATACTTTAAAAAAAACAGTTTAGATGCGGGGCTTGTTTTTCTGCTCAAGTCCATTGATCTCATAATGAACATATAACCGTCCACGAGGAAAGGAACTTGCATAAACGGTCAAACTTTTCAGTTCGACGATTTAAGTCTGTTAAGTTGGATCGATAAGAGGATGGGATTAAGATGATTTGTGGACCGACCGGCTCCTACTCCGTGACTGGTCAACTGAACAATTTCAAACAGGCTCGGACTGGCCATAAGGCCAATCAGCCATTGACAGATACGACCTTTTTGCGCGCCGAAAACGCGTCCCTCTTACAGATAGCAAAATAAGAAGAAGAAGAAATTACGGCCGATAATATGTGAGAAAAACTTCTTAAAAGAACGGGAGAAGAGAGAGTTAGGAGTAAAGAAAGGTGCCTCAACGCATGATAGTGGTGAACAGAGGTCCAAGAACTACTTTCTGAAGCGTAAACAATTTTCTGTGAAATTGTCACCTTCTTCTTGACATACAGGCGCTTTATCATCCCCCTCATTCATTCGCCATGTGTAACTCCCTTAGGAGCGATGGTCGATTCGGTTTTTAGACATACGCATCCTTTATAGACCTCTTAAGAGACCTTTAAACATATTTCCTCCTTTTCAAATCACTGTTGATTTGGACATACATATACCATACCATAGCTCTAAAATGTAAACGCGATACAACTATTCTCGCAAGATGGATGTCCACATTGCATATGAAAAATGTAAGACGCGATGCCGTGAGTCGTGAACTCGCAATGTTCTGCTCTAGTTTAAAGCATCATTACCAACAAGACAAATGGAAACAAACACAACATGGAAAAAATAGAGCGAGGAAAAGGATGCGCGTTAACGACGGCGCAGAGATACAACTATTCGTACTTGATGGACGTCCGTGCTGCATCTGAAAAATTGAAGGCGCGATGACGCGAAGCGTGAGTTCTCATTGCTCTGCTATATGCTGCCGATGAGGTGTCGCTCTGATTCGGGAGAAAAGTTAAAAAAGAGGCCCGAACACATCTCTCCTACCTTCGGTTGTGTTATTCACGTAGTGCTTGAAGCACCATTACGAATAAGACAAACGCAAACAAACACAATATGAAAATAAAGCGAGGGAATAAAGGATGCGCGTCATGGACGGCGGAGAGATACAACTATTCGTACTTGATGGACGTCCGTACTGCATCTGAAAAATTGAAGGCGCGATGACGCGAAGCGTGAGCTCTCAATGCTGTGCTTCACGTTCAATTTTGCAATTTTCACTCCGTGCGATCAATAAACTTTGAACCTGAAAATAGCGTAAACTTGTGGTGATTTGCCAAAATTTTCCGAACCCCTCTCCACGTAGGGAATGCTCTACCAGGAAATATCACAATACGCCCCTTCAACCAGCCAAGGGTCCACGCACTCAGATGCGAGCCAGCCGACCCTGATTTCAAATGATAATTTACCTGAAAAATTTCCTCAGGAACACAGCAGTTCCCCAGCGTCCATGCAAAAAGCACCAAGGCCTGGATGGAAATTTTCCTGCGGACCCCTCGTCTGGAACCGCGGGAAAGAATTCCTGGGTCTGCGGCAGCATCCAGCGAGATCTCTTTTTCCCAATTATTATTTTCTTTAGCCACACTATAGTGGAACCACGAGGACATTGTCGACTCCGGTGCTCCAGCAGCGCAGCCATGACCATTTTTTAACTCGCGTCATCCTTAGTTACGGGAGCGCAGCGCACCGTGAAGAGGACACAAATCGATGAGTCCTCAAACAATATCAGTTATGACCTTGATCGAGAGTGAAGCATAGTGACCGTGACAATGGAATCAGTGGAAAAAAAGGTCATGGCTCCGATGTGCGGGGGACCCTCGTCGTCAACATCCACTGCGGAGGCGGGGGGGGTCTCGCCTCTCCATGATGGGAGCTCCGTCTCGGAGAACTGATCGCCCCATTATTTTGAGCTCCTGATTGGTCGAGACCTCGATAGCTCTACTTGATGCAAACATTTTGGAAAATGTTACACACCGAAAAAAAAGTGAAGTTGATTTAACATTCTGGATGTAAAAAAAAGTGTGCGAGAACTCACAAAATGCTAACTTACCCGCTACGGCAGTTACTTTTACATCTTGAAATGGCTGAAGTAACTGCTCTAGCAGTTAATTCAGCCTTTGGAAGTTCTCGCACACTTTTCTTACATCCAGAATGTTGAATCAATTTCACTTTTTTTTCAGTGCAAGTTTCGTCACCTTCCAGACAAAGCATCACAAGCGCCATGCGACGTTTCAAAATTTCCGCCGCCATTGAATTTTTTAACAGGGAAATTGTTCAACGAAGCAGTTCGAAAATTTCACTGAATTTTCTTTGCGCCGCCGATAAAATTCAATGAAATCTTCAAACAGATTCAACCAACAATTTCTCTGTAAAAAAATAAATAAATTAAAAAAAAAAGTCACATGACGCTTGTGACACTATGGCCGGAAGGTGACGCTTTATTTTTTGGGTCCCTTCCTTGGTCTGGTCGAGAACTCAACAGCCTGAAGGAGATCTTGTCGTGGATCCTCAGCACTTTGGCGAATTATCTTGTCGATCAATGGATTTATTGGTCATTTCCAGATTTATAGGCATTTCTTTTAACTCTCTAAGCAACGCATCACGCTGTGGTCCATCAAACACAAAAAAATTAAGATCCGGCTCTAGAAGCTGTAGTTACCGGCGTGGCTGAGGCTCCAGTTACTGAAATCGGAGCAGTCACAGCTACGGCTCCAACACCCGAAACTTTCAGTTTCTGAGCCCAGAACGGACGATATGTCCATACAGCTCATAATTATACGACCTCCAGGGCCGGAACTTCTTTTGCGTACAAGCATTTGCCCACAAAATATGACTGAGAGACATTTTGGAATAGCTCCTGAAGTGCGTCCCGAGCGAATATTGATAATCAAAAGGCAAAACGACAGTGGCAATTCTAAAAAGTTGGCAACAATGTTTTTCCTCCGTTTGAATGTATGTAAAACAATCGATTCATGGTGAGGCAGCTTGCCTCACATAAAATCGAAATTAAATGGCCATTTATCGCGATTTTATCCCGATGAGATCGAGGGTAATCGCTCAGATGTTGATGATCCTAGCGATTTTATCGCGGATAAAATTGCAATTTATCCCGATTTTCCCGTTGAAAAATGCTACTTTGGGTTGGAGAATTTTTAATGTTTTCTTCTAACGTTCCGAATTCGAAGTTACTGCACTCCTGCGGTATTTGTTGCCGATTTTTGATTTGTAAGTCAATTAAGTGCGTAACAGTACATTTGCCTAGCCCTGCGCTTTGGAGTCGGGCCGGGGAGAACCTCTCATCTGCCGTTTCCAAGGTGAGGTGGGGTTGAAAAGGCGAGGGGGAAAAAAACCCTCACTCTTTTGCGTGGCCCTGAAATAACCTGAAATGGCGCCCTTGATTGGAGGAGACCCATACTGAAGAGGAAGGTTATTAAAGAACCAAGGGCAAGGAAAAACATGTTATAATCTATTTATTTGTCCAATTCAATGAAAATTCATTTTGTCACCTAACAAAGTTACGGTACTTGGGATTAAAAAGAAATTAACTTGAATTTTAAAATAAAATTGCTTGGATTTTTTCCCTCAAATAAAAAAAAATCAATAACAAAAAAAAAAATCAAAGAAAACCCCGTTGTTTTGTTTAAAACATTGTTTCTTAATCATTTCTTTAGTGCAAGATCGAAAATCGATTCTCGATTCTCGATATCTTCGTCGGCGATCAATAGGCGAGATTAGTAATCCAATTTTATTACAACCTTCTGCAGATCGTGTGACAGCGTTTCAAAATTTAGATTCAAAACGCATCATCTAATTGGTGTTTCCGACCACAGCCAAAACAATTCATTAGTCAACGGAAAGAATGTCCTCTCAGAGAAAACGAAGTAAACTTCCAGTTGATTTAGTCTGCATTTGTTATTTTGTTTCGTTTCATTTGCATTTTGATTCTGCATCCATATAATGTCGAATGTTGCATTCCTTGAGCTAATTCGTTCCCCTGACAATTTTCCGTCATTAGTTGATTGGGGGAGGGGGGATTGGGGGGGGGGTCACTCAGACGCTACACAGCTTTACCTCCGGTTTGCACTCTAAGGACGTAACTTTTGCGACAGTGAAAAGTCTAAGCCACAATTTAAAAATTTGAAAGGAACGGGATCAGCTTGAAATTATTACCTGCCAATTGCTGGAAAATTATGGAAATCGATCAG